CTTTTTTCTTTTTGCTTATGTGGTGCTGAGGAATCGAACCCAGGGCCTCAGGCATGCAAGGCAAGCGCTCTACCACTGAGCCACCTTCCCAGTCCCAAGTGTAGTTTTCTTAATGTAGAATATTTTTCTTAGATATATTTAAAGGAACGTGATTCCGAAGCAGTGAATAATTTAAGGATCATAGTCTTAGGGCATTACAAAGTTTGCTAGCTGTAAAGCAGAGGTTACAGTTCCGTTAGGAGGAGTTCGTGCCGATGACAGGAGGTTATAGCTGCAAACAGTGTGTGGGACTCAGGATCACCTGATCTCACCAGCGGCTGAGTTGGCTCTATCATAGATTTCTGCAATTACGGACTTTAGTCATTGTTAAAGCTTTGTAGTCAAATTCCAATTAATGTAGGATGAGGCTGGTTTAAAGCAGATAATATTTAGAGAGGCAGTTTGGATGGTAATTCTCAGTATACATGTAATATATAATTACAAATATATAAACATATAATACAGTGATTCTCTGCATATGTGCATATGTATGTGTCTATTTGTGTGTGTGTGTGCTTGTCTATTCACCATCTGTAATAGATACCTCTGATAAGGATCCTGTGAAATGACCAGGTGCTATCGCGTGATCTCAGACAGGTTCATGCTTCTCTCTTGGACTTCCCTGTGTAGCTCATGAGAGGGTGCCATTTTAGTATTGACTCGTTGCTGCCTTGGCGTTAGAATATGGCTGTCCTTGCACTTCTCATGGGAGCTGCCATGCGCCCTGCCAGGGGAAGAGCTGGGTGGTTCCCACACAGTGTGTGCTCTCCTGCTCCGAGGAGCACTGGGGGGCGGGGGGGGGAGCGTGCATGTGTGCACAGTAAATGAGCACCGGGTGAGTGTGCACATGTGAGCAGTGGCGTCAGTAATATGATATGGGCTACGGTAGACTGGGTAAGTGGGGCAGAACCTACTTGGAAAGAACCTCATGACGGTGAGCAAATGGCATTGTAAGCAGTGGGAAGACAGTGGTTATTTCTGGCCCGGGGCGTGGCTGTCACACTGGTCTCTGGTTGATTTGTATTTAAGATCTATTCCTGAAGGTGGAATTGCTTCATCGAAGAACTGGATAGATATTAAGATTTTTGCAACATATTATTACTCTATTTTCCTACTATAAGCTCCTCTTCATTGGGTATGATGAAGTTGAAGAGCTAGTTGAAGACATTGTATATTGTGCTTTGAAAGAATTCGATAGCTGTGTTGAGATGTAGCGAACATGCCATTCAATCACTTATTTAAAATGTACAGTCCAGTGAGTTGGGTTTGCTTTTTTAATTTAAAATTGTTTTTCTTTTAAGGTTGTAGAAGGAACACCTCTTGTGGATGGAAGAAGACTCAAGTATAGATTAAATGGTGATTTCTTTTAAGACTAATGAGTTGATCATTTTTCTACTCTTTAAACTGTCAAAGCTGATGACACCACAGTTTAAGTAGTAAACCATCTCAGTAGTTTGAAGAAAGTCATGCAGATAAACCAATATGTAAAACTTATGCCACTCTTGACATCTAGTTTCCCTCCACCCTTCCCCTCCCCAACTCTGCTTCCCTCCTTCCTCCCTCCCTCCTTCCCTCCCTCCCTCTCTCCCTCTCTCCCTCTCTCCCTCTCTCCCTCTCTCTCTCTCTCTCTCTCTCTCTGTCCTTCCCTTCCTGTTTGTTTTTGAGATAGGTCTTTAGGTAGCCCAGGCTGGCCTGGAACTCTGCATCTTTCTGCCTCAGTCTTCCAAGTGCTGGGATTACAGGGGTGAGCCACTATGCTTGCTAGTTTTGTTTTCTTTTTTCTTCTTTTTTTGTGCTGATCCTGGGTCTTAAACTCAGGGCCTGGGTACTATCCCTGAGCTTCTTTGGCTCAAAGCTAGCCCTCTACCACTTGAGCCCCTGAGACTTTTCTGTCTTTATTTTTTTTTTTAATTAGCAATAAGAGTCTCATAGACTTTCTTGCTCAGGCTGGCTTTGAACTGTGATCCTCAGATCTCAGCCTCCTGAGTAGCTAAGATTACAGGCGTGAGCCACCGGTGCCCAGCTCTAGTTTTGTTTTTTTAAATGGACTTGTCACTATTTGGAGTACCGTGCTTGTGCATCTGTGATCTTACCATTGTGAGCTATGCACTGGTGTGGGTGTCCTCCCCCCCCCCCCAACCCCTGCTGGCCTGGCTGGTCTGGCGAGTTGGCTGGCCTGTGAGATGTCTTTTGAGTTTGTGTCACATTCTTCTCAGCCCTTTTCCTGGGAAACTTCCCTGAAATGCTTTCGGGAAGCCTTGGGGTCCGTTCCTCTTCCATGCCCTGTTTTATTCTCTGGTACTGTGTCTTCCTGCTTTTAGTGCTCTTTGTTCATTCATCCAAACTTTTTGCCTCCTCGACAAAGCTTCATGAGCTGAGACTCATGCTGACAGAGGCCTTTGGGTTCTAGAAGGGCTACCCAGTTCACCACTGCTGAGTACACAGTACAACTGCTTCTTAGTCCCTAGTTCAGACCGTCAAGTACCCAGTACAACCACCACTGAATTATAGTAGGAGTGCTTCATTGGCACTCAAGAACTGAACAGATGTTTGAGTTTCTCATGTGGCAGGAGTTATCAATCTGGTTTTGCCATCTGAAGACATAGAATATTGCAAATCTGATTTCCTTGAATGATTATCCATTTTACTGGACCAGGTAGGGTGTCTTCGTTTTCTTGAGGATTTGTTACGGATGCCCGGTAACTTGTGGTGCACTCCTGGTGAGCCTGTCGCACTGGGCAGCAGTGTGGCTGCAGAGCTGTTGGCCTCTGATCACACGCCGCAGGCCGCGCCGTGCCGTGCCGCAGGGATCTCTGAGCCTGCGTCATAACGGGAGGAGAGGCAGAGCTGAGCATGGCTCCTACCATGCCAGAATGAAAACTCCCGAGCTCCACTCAGGCCCACTGCTACTTCCTTCACCCTTGTTTTTTGACCAGATACTTTCTCATCAGTACCTCATCTGGCATTGACTATCGGGTTCATCTGCCCTTTTGTGTGAGCTCAGTGCCAGACTCCCAGGGGTGCTTAAACCTTTACAGTGTTCTGGCAAACTCCTTGCTGATGGAGCGCTTGTTAGGCTCTGCTCCTTGCCCTGTGCTGGCGAGCTGGGCCTATGTCAGTCAGTTGCTTGCCCTTGCCTGTAGGTTTCTCCCAGTGGTATTCTGGGCATCAATTGGCTTCTAAGAAATGTGTTGGTGTTTGTTTGGAATCTCGAAGACATAGAACTGTTAAGCCAGTGGAAGAGAAGCCTGTCTCGTTTTTTTGTTGTTTTCTTAGTGCTGGTTTTAAGGCTTGAATTCAGGACTGAGGTACTGTCCCTGTGTCCCTGAGCTCTTCGCTCGAGGCTGGTGCTCTTAACACTTGAGCCACAGCTCTACTTGTGGTTTTTGATAGTCAATTGGAGATCAGAGTCTAGTTGTCCTGGCTGAGGCATGGAACTATGGCCCTCAGACCTCAGCCTCCTGAGTAGCTACGTTTGCAGGTGTGAGCCACCGGGGCCGGCTGGAGGTTTGTTTTGCTGTGCCAGTGATGGTGCCTGCTCCTCCAGGCTGGCCTGGCCTTGGCTTCCCTGTGGCCTCTGCTCCTAGACACTCTAGATAGTAGACTATGACTAGAATCTGAGCCATTATTAACAAGCTAATTCAAGCACAAATACTGATAATTTTGAACTTAGTTACCCTACCATTAGGTAATAGCACTGGAGTTTAAAATGTATACTTGGCCTAACTTTGTTCATTTTTAGCCATTTGACTTTGGGGTTCAGTGCATTTTGAGATTCTTTCAGTTTTATGACAGTAAAGTTCTATATCTTTCCTGGCAGTGATGTTAATAGCAGATAGTGAGCCAGGCTTGGTGCTCAGTCCTGTAATAATCAGCTCCTTGGGAGGTAGTCAGGAGAGTTTGATTTTAGATTAGGGCAAAAGAGTTGATGAGACCCTATCTAAGAGAATAGGGTAGGCATAACTGTAGTCCAGCCCTTGGGAGGTCACAAGGGAGACCTAGAGGTTAAGGCCAGTCTGGATGACGTAGCAAGGCCCGAGCTCAGGAAAAAAAACCACAGAACACATCCTGTTTCTTTATAATGGTGTGAATCGCAGGCGAGCCTGAGCTGGTGGATGTGTTAAACATTTTGCTTTCTTATTTTACAGGGTTCTACGCATTCACCCTGACGTTGGCAGGGGTTGGAGCAGCTGTCTTCTGGGGCGTGGAGCTCTCTTGGGTGTATAGCCATTTCCTTCAGTTGGCGCTTGCGGCCACAGTGTTTTCGGTGGTCTTGAGTGTTTACCTCTATGCTCGCTCTCTGAAGGCGCCCAGGAGTGAGCTGGCGCCCGCCAGCTCTGGTGAGCAGTGATGCTTCGTGTGGGGCTTCGCCTGTGGGGCTTCTTTGTGGCTGAGTGTCCCAGAGCCCAGCAACCATCTCTAGAGAGCTTCCTAGCTTCATTTTATAGGGAATGAAGCAAAGTAAGAAAAAAGATAAAGGTACTTAAAGGAAGAGGATATTTATTTTCCCACAAAAATAAGAAGTCGCAAATGGGTTGATTCTTGCCTAAAGAATTTGTTTTTTTGAAGTTGCTTATTTAAAAAATGAGTTCACATCGGAAAACCTGGCAGCTTTCTTGGGCTGTGGGAGCCGGCTGCAGCAGCTGTTGCCTGTAACGGATGTGCAGCCAGAGGTGGAGTTACATACTCACACTGGTGTGGATCGTGGTTTGGGTAAAACCTTTTCCCTTCTCAGGAAATGCTGTCTATGATTTCTTCATTGGCCGTGAACTAAACCCTCGAATTGGCACTTTTGATCTCAAATACTTTTGTGAATTGCGTCCAGGATTGATTGGATGGGTATGTCTTATTCTTTCTTAAATTTTATTTTATTTTAATAGTGCACATTCATCTTGTGTTTAGAAAGAAATATAAGCAATTTTAGAGTAAGAAGTAGGTGTAGACTTTTAGGAAGTATTACAGTTTTCCATAATTCTGTCTTCCTAACAGTGTCTTCATACTACAAGTATTTGCAAGCGGATATCTTGTTAGAGGTTATTCCACATTGTTTTTAACACTTTTGAATTCATGTTGTGCTTGTGTACATGGATTAAAATAAGAGAAGCCATGTTTTATTTCCTTTTTTGTCTTAATTTTTTATTATAAGGTGATGTACAGAGGAGCTACAGCTACATAAGTCAGGCAGAGGACATTTCTTCTGGGGCAGTGTCGCCCTTCCCCTGCTCTCTTCTGGTTTATTCCCTTTTTAATAAAAACTTTGTTTTAGCCTAATTTCAGACTTACAGAAGAGAGTGCCGAGTTCCTTCTGCCCTGCCCCCCTTCCCAGTGTATACATGAAGGCCCACCCAGTGGCCGCTGCTGCAGTAGCTGCAGTAACCCCCTCTGCAGGGCTGTTAGCCAAGCTGCAGACCCGGCCCTGGCAGAGCTGTTGCAGCGCCCTCTGTAGGAGGCTGCTGTGCCCTGCTATAGGGAGCAACAAGACCAGGTCACTTGTAGGGAAGCCCTGAGTGTTTTCTCATGGCCCAAGTGAGGTCGCTGGTACGTGGCAGGAACAGCCGGAAGTTGTGTTGCATCTCAGTGGATTGCGGCCCGGTGGCCATGGTGTTGAAATGTCTTGTTCCCAGTGCTGGCACAGGGCGGTGGTCCTGGCCTGGGCTTTGGTCCCTGCGGAGCAAGGACTGGGGCCCATTGAGACTGCTCTTTTATTTCAGGTGATTGTTAACTTGGTGATGCTCTTGGCTGAAATGGAAGTGCAGAACCGCCCCACTCCATCCCTGGCAATGATCTTGGTGAACAGTTTCCAGCTCCTGTATGTGGTAGATGCTCTCTGGAATGAGGTACTTTTTTTTTTTTTGTCTGTCTGTCGTGGGGCTTGAACTCTGGGCCTGGGTGCTGTTCCTCAGCTCTTCAGCTCAAGGCAAGCACTCTGCCACTTGAGCCACAGCGCCACTTCTGGTTTTCTGGTGGTTGATTGGAGATAAGAGTCTCATAGACTTTCCCACCTGGGCTGGCTTTGAACCTTGATCCTCAGATCTCAGCCTCCTGAGTAGCTGGGATGACAGGCGTCAGCTTTTGTTTTTGTTGTGCAGCAGAGTCTTGAATGTAGCTCTGGCCAGGCGCATCCCACTTCCTTCTGCCTCTGCCTTCCTGGTGCTGGGGGCATGCAGATCCATGCCAGCGCATCTCAGTTGCAAGGTGTTTGAGAGTCTGCTGACATTTGGAGAGTCAGCCTCTGAGTCAGAGGCTTTCCTGTGCCTTTCTTTTCTACAGCTAAGATGTACTGGACATGGTTTGCTGTAGGAACAGCAAACAAGTCCAAGTCTGAAAGCATACTTTGTGTAACCATAGGAAAAAAGCTCACAAAACTTAGATCATCTCTGTCCACTAAGACAGCAAGCAAGTCCAAGTCTGAAAGCATACTTTGTATAACCATAGGAAAAAAGCTCACAAAACTTAGATCATCTCTGTCCACTAAGAGAGGTTAATAGAGCAAATAATATAAAAATTTTTCAGCTACAAGATATTTAGCGACAGGGCTGTGAGTGTGGCTCAGTGGTGGAGTGCTTGCCTTTAACAAAAGAAGATCAGGGTCCGTGCCCGGGCCCTGAGTTCAAGCCCCAGGACTGGCAAAAAAAAAGATACTCAGAGACAAGAGTAAATTTAAGTAGTTGTACACAGGAATTAGTATTTAACAAAGCAGCTTGTGCATGCAGTGCCTCTCACCCACCCCTCCCAACCCAGTCCTCCTCTCACGGCCTTTAGTTGCACAGGGCCTGCTCTGAGTTCTTCACGGCGTTCTCCCTCCATTGCTGTCTTCTCCCTGCACTGAGGCTGGTCTTCAATTTGGCATTTCATGCAAGACAGAGGAAGGCTCAGTGACTGTGGTGTGACCCTGCACCCGCTCTGCGGGGTGTGGACAGGGCAGGGATAGGGTCAGGCCAGCTGCTCTGATGGCAGCCCCTCACTGCACAGACTCCGCCCCAGTGTCTGGCTCTTGCCTGAAGCGGGCCTCTCAGTGTTGCCAGTGCAGTCCCCTGCTGCCAGGGAGTAGTGAGGATGGCCCATTCACTCCCCCTGCTGCTGCCAGGGAGCAGTGAGGATGGCCCATTCACTCCCCCTGCTGCTGCCAGGGAGCAGTGAGGATCGCCCATTCACTCCCC